TTCAGATAAGTCAAATCTACTTTGTTTTAGAGAGCATGTAAAGAGGATATGCCACTGAATTTGCAGATCAAAACCAACTGTGGCTCATGCTCTGCTTTTGAGCAAAAATGGAAGGCAGATTCGGAACTTAAAAAAACTGAAACACCACTGTGACCAGACATAAGGTCTGGGCTTTTTTTTTTTTTTTTTTGACAAGACAAAGGCCAAAAAGAAGTTTTCCAGTCTAGGGTTTTAGTTCTATCTTGTCCACAAATCTGCCTCTGGCAAGGCTCCTACAAACTAATTTGAAGAAACACATATTAAACAAAGTGCTAGACAGGTAAGGGATTAAAAAAGAAACAAAAAAACCCAATGTTAGGGAATACTTCCTTGTAATTTCTGATACTAAAAAAAAGGCAGATGCTCCAAAGCGTAAGTGCATTTCAAGTTTGTTGTGTGGTTGGTTTTAGGTGGTGTTTTTGTTTTAATGGAAATGATAAATACGTGTTTCAATGAAATCTACAGGTGCATTTTACTTCAGTATTCCTGAACAAGCCCTTTTAATTGTTTCAAAGCTGTAAAGTTCTGACATTACAATAAAAAAAAAAAGGAAGCAGAAAATGCTGATGTGCATTCTTTACACTCCTAGTGTTATAATCACTTTTATTCCTAGCAATGATTTCAATCTGGGGTCACATCTTTTGCTTCCCATCCCATATGGCAGCTCCAACATTTGAAAGACCAGAAGGAAAAAAGACTGGGCGTGTGTAACGCTGGTACGATCACTAATAACAAACCTATAAAACTGAAGTCTGGAATAAAATAACCAGAAAACTGAAACAGTATCTTGTTTTATTCCAATTCTTGCAGACAGACTTGTCTGACTACTCTAATGGAGTGCTACTGTTTGAACACGAGACTTACATTAACCCAGCAGAGACACAGAAATCGACTGCCTGTTTCTGGTATTTTCCCCACTTCAAGTTCAACATCCCATCTTAGAATTTAACAAATTAAGTATCCTTAAAAGGCAAATTATTTTAAGTTGCATTTCAAACCAAGTCCTATCATCTGTAAACTTAAATAACAGTTAAAATCCCTTTAATGGTATCTAATACAAAAGCCAATTCTCAGAAAATTGTAGCGATAAAGTTGAATGATTCCAAACTTCAACTGGTTCTAGGAAATTAAATTTTATAGAAAAAGCAGATGTTCTACTTCACCAACTGCAGCCACTCAGAATGCACAGCTGACCTGCTTGCTACCCAGACGTTCTTTGACTATCAAGAAAACATATTTACTTATTTGGAAGGTTAAGAAGAAAAGTAGGATCTGTGAAGAATGACTAACGGACAATAGCAAAAGCCAGTAAAAGACAAAACAGTCCAAAACACAAGCTCAATCTGACAGTCCAGTTCTCTTAAAAAAACCCTTTTTTTTTAAAAAAAAAAAAAAAAAAAAAAGGTAATTTGAAGCCCCTTACAATGAGGCCTGCAAAGGCACTGAGAAGGCAGGACAGCATGTTTGTACCAGATGCTCCGCTAGACAAGAATCCTGCTGACACGCGCCTAAGGACCCCCCCCCTCCCATGCCCATTCCTTTGATCCCATGTCATCTTTTATGACTGCCTGTGCCTGGCATAAGGAGACCCTCCTTCCATACTTAGTTCTTTCCTAGATTTTAAAGTTTGTGAATTCTCCTAATGCAAAACTGTTCTCAAGTCAAATGCATAGGCTTGAAGGATCAACATCTGAGCCACAACAAGACTTGGGGGGTTGGACTAGATGATCTTTTGAGGTCCCCTCCAATCCCTAACATTCTGTGATTCACTGATGCTTCAGTGGCGTAGCTGAAGACCTCAAGCCCACTTCAAAGATGTTAGATCTGAGTCTTGGAACAAAGTTCTTATCTTCAGCTTGGAGCACTTAGGTTTTAGACCCAGCTTACTTCACAAGGGTATTCTGACAAGGACTGTTATCTGATGTATTAGTCTTAAAAGCCTGCTCCAAGAAGGAATCCATAATAACTGCATTCTTTTCTGTTTAAAACCATAAATGCAATACTCAAATTCCCCTTACCAAAAAGTCAGTAGGTGTGTCTGCCTAAAACAGTATCTTCAAACTGATCCTCCCTCCTCTCTCTTTTCTAGCCACATTAATGGAAAATTCCCAGCACTACCAAAAAAACCCCCAAAAAACAAAAAAACACAACCTATTGCACACCTACTAGAGAAAATAAGGATTAATGTAAAGCTTCCATTCGATGAGGAACATACAGAGATACAAGGTCTTTCTCCTTGGAAGCTGGGAATTCAGAAGCAATAAGGGCAAAGACACTTCAAGCCTTCTGTTTCTGAATACAGGAACAGAAGAGTATGTTTGCCAGAAGAGTGCATTTGCACATACCATTCAACAGCTTTATTGTTTTTGATAGTTCTTCAGATTGGTTAAAGTGGCAGTGTCAAGGAAGAAATGAATTTCCCCTTCATTTTCAATCTACATCAGCTATAATAATCAAAAGCTTCAACATTACAAAGATGAATTTACCTAGGATTGCTTCCACCAGTGTTAGTCAAAAAACAGTGAAAACCAAGCCCTTATATTAAAACACAGCAACAGAAAAGGGTATGGTGATCCTCACGGGGAAAAAACCCAGCATGATTTTCAGCCTATATTAAGCACAGAAAGGTAAACTTCTGAGTTATTCACATGCTATTTAGGGTCACAACATGTATTTGTTGAGGATCTCCACATGATAAATGCAAGGCTCAGTAAGTTAGCTCTGTCAAACAGATTTTTTTTTCTTCTTTACTAGAGTGACTTCAGGAGGTCAGGAATAAGATTTTGTATTTTCTTGGCTCAAATGATAAAAACATAAACCACAATACAACGCGTACTACTTAAGATTTCAATGAAAACTCCTTCAAGCTCAACAGCAGCTAGCAGCTTGTCTCTATTTGCCATCACTCTAGATCAGAAAAGCCCATATGCTTTTTTTTTTTTTTCCCTTCCTTGCCCCTTTCAGTTACACTTGAGCTCTTTGACTGAAAAGGTCTGGAACAGATTAAAAGTCCGACCACAAAATAAAGAGTCTTGGCATGAACTCAAGTCTGTCTGGGATACACATACGCAGTGGGCCCAAAAAGGGAAGCTATGCAGCAAGAAACCCTTATGCAGTCTTTTGGACATTTCTAGCTTCTTTCAGTTTAACTGCACAGCCTTAACATTTGCTGGAGGTTCAGTATGCACAAGACAAGCAGCTTTTGCCCTTACAATTAGACCATACTATTTACAGGAGTACAAAATAGTTCTGAGAAACAAGATTCATCTCACTCATGACCTCTGTCAATTAAAGCCTCTTCCACACTTCTTTTTAATTGTAGCTCATCATTGGAAACTATAAAGTAATACAAAGATAAGCAAAATACACACCCTGTAAGATTACTTAAGTAAATGTAATTGACCTGCCTCTTTTAACTGCAAGAGGCGATGCTGATTTTCAAAATGACTGCTTCCTTTTCAGACTTATTCTCATATTAAGTAATTGTGAATTTGCAAATTACCTACACACTCCTCTTGCAACATGAAAACAGGTCTGCAACCCTGGCTGGTGTTAAAGCCAGCACGGACATTTGCCAAAGCTGACAACCTCCAACATACGCCCCACCTTTGGGCTCAAGCTGCACAGTGGTTCAACCTGTCTACAAACTGGTGAGCAGCTTATAAACAAAGTGTGACAATATGGTGTTCTCCATAAGAGCAAGCAGATGCTTAAAGTAAGCGCTCAAGCCTACAAAACAAAAACACTGAAATTTCTAAAAGCCATTTCAGGAAAACAAACCAGAACAGCAACTGTTGAGTTCTGCAGCTCTGTGTTTATACGGCATTCATGGAGTTAATGCCTCTCCCAAAAGGGGCCCACAGTTGTTGTTAGGTCAACCCCTGTAAAGCTTCAAAGGCTTTGTATCCCCTCAGCCTGACCTACTCAGTGATCTGCACGCTGTTTTCATTTAGTTGCACCAAGTCCAAAACTAAAGCCTGAAAACCACAATGATTTCTTCTTTTTTTTTTTTTTTCCCCCTACTGTTTTTTCCATGGCTCTGGAAAAATCACTAAAATCCAAAAGAGTTGAAAATAGGAAGTTATTGGGAAAACAAACCAAGGGCAAATTAATGCAGCTAATGAAGCTTACACACACAGGTCATGGCTTTATGCAAAAACTGAAGTTGTAATACCACCTTAAATACATCAGAACAATTACTTGGACAACCCAAGAACTAGTTTAGGCTCTCTTAATATTATATGTTACTGCTATTCATAGTCATCAGTGCCAATATTTAAGTGTTTGCAGTTCTGCTTTTCATATAGATCAAAAACATTTAAAAAAATGAGATACCAGTTCTGTTTTGTTAAATTTTTACATCTTGACCTTGTGATCCCTAATTTACTATTTCTGTTTCCAATATTACATAGTGTTTACCCCCCAAAAAGATTATTAACGTAGAAACAAAAAAACCTAAGAATTTCTCTCCATACTGTTTAAAATGAAGTTCTGTCATGATCATCACTGTGACAAGCTGGAATTATAGGCTGGTATATGTTTCAAGTGTATTTAAACAGTGTAAATTATTATTTGACAATGCCCTCTTTAGGATGGCGCAAAGGAAAGTAAACATTTTTTTGGTAATGAAAAGATTCTTCTGTGGTAAAGTTCTGCAATTTTAAAGGGAATAGTGAGCTTGGCTAAAACTGTCTGATTTCTGAATGCCACCAATTTTGGGAACTGTATGGATCATATGGCAAAAATCACAACCCATAGCATTAGAAACTCTGGTGACATACAATCCTACAGGATATATGCTAATCCTTTTTTATATATTTTTTTAGAATTATTTAAGTAAAGTCTCTATAATTCAAATATATTCTAATCGCACTATGAAAAGTTTTCAAAATATGCTTGCAAAAACTAAAGCTGAGTGAACTGAAGCAAATCAAAAATTCTGAAGTGAGATGAACTTTTACCAAAGCGTGGGTCAAGCCTTGGGTCTAGCCAAGATGTGGTCTTGTTCTTATGGTTTATGTAGTAAATTTCTCCATCCTGGGTCATAGCTTGTTCCCATCCATCGGGGAGTGGGCCTGCAATATAGAAGGAAGGAGTTGATGGCGGGCTCTTGTTTGCTCCAGCTGAAATTGATCTAAAAAAAATTCCAACATTTTACATATATAACAGTACATGAAACAGAAGAGTTTCAAGCTCATATCTAACATTACTGGGATAAGGGCAAAGAAGTGGCAAGCTGCAAATCAAAGAACAGAAAGCACTTCTATCATTTTGATTTAGGATTTGGAGTTTAATTTTATAACTTGTTTGCATCCTTCCATATGCTTTTGATACTTTTGCTATAGCACTATAGTACAAAACCAGCAATAAGTCAAGCCTGCCAGAATGAAACCAGCATGAGCACCAGGAAAAAGAATAAGCACAGAGATATTCTACCTTTCCTGGGAAAGTTCATATAGTGCTTAAGGCCTAGCAGCAACAAGTAACACTGACGAGACCCTGAAATATTCCTCTAACTTTCAAGAACAATTTTTTAAAGTGACAAAACTCATTTTCCCTTTACCTCATACCATAACCTTCTGTGAAAGCGTTAAAGGCTGAAGCAAGCAAAAACACAAACCTGAAGAACAGGAGGCAAATAAGCAATGAAAAAGCAAAGGTAAGAAAACACCAGGAGCAGACATAGACACAGTGCTACGAACAGCAGTGCGACGCCTCTATGAGCAGGAAGGCACAGGCAGGGAAACCCACACTTGGGAAATGGTGAAAGGGAAGTAAGTGATGGTGTTTGGTGTCCAGATCTAATGTTTGAACACAGAGTCCTGAGGTGTGTTTCCCTGATGTTCCAAAGAGCAGCTTTGGAGAAAAACACCTTTTATCACTATACAGTTCATAAACCACTCATTCCTATCTCTACATCATCATGTACGTTCATCTGTATTTTGCTTAGACTGAAAACTATTCTTAAAGTTACATTAATCTCATCTTATCTGGCAGGTGCTTTACAAATGTATGGTTTTTAATTCTTATCCTCACACAGATAAGGACTTTTAAAAATTATCAAAATTAGATACAGGAAGATCTTGTCCACATATCTTCAGATTTAACTACAATCCTAGAATGATATAGCAAAAGATCCACTACAGATGTTAAGAATGTACAAGAAATTAGAACAAGACCTGCTGCAGGAAGCCATCATATTTCAACCTCTCCTCCCATTCTTCCTCAGTGTAATATAGTAACACACTGGCAAAGCTATCTGGTTGTTAAACTTGGACTAAAAAACCCCATTCTGTATAATGTGAGATACATTAAGTATGCACAAATATAATTTCACACACAAGACCAGAGACAGACACAAAAATATGCGTGTGTATCTGATAAAATGCCTTAAGCACCAACTATATCCATGTTCAAAGTACCTTAGCTCTTTGCCTGCCATTTTGTCCTAAAGTCATGCCCCTGTTGAAGAATTCATTGTCTAAAGCTGGGGGGGGCAGGGAGAGGGGAAGAAGGATAGATTTATTTGCTTAGTCTCAAAAGATGTTCTTGGAGATATGTCAAAAAGAGTAAAATAATCATTTGATTGCATTCCAGTAATATCCCAAGGCATAACCAGGACAAGAATTTCTTACCCAATTCACATAGGTCTTTGAAGTTCCCATGAAAACTGCATTTCTAATTTAAAGCCTTGCATTTTGGCTCAGAACACTACACTTTTCTCTAGCAACTTCGCTACTCCACCAGTAGAGCTACAGGTTTTTGAGTGAAAAAAACCAGTGATCAAACCACTGGACATTTCCTTCCTGACCTTAACACTCTCAAGTTTTAAATGCTGCCTACAAATAACAAGAGTACCTCAGGTTTTATCAGAGGCTAGTAGTGAACAGAACAGGCAAGAAAGTGACAACACTGCAAAACGTTCATAAATCCTCAGACAATCACAGTGTAACAGCACTTCAGTGCAGAACTGAAGCTCAAGTGCAAAGAACCCTGCACTTTGTTAGCACACCCAAAGACCAGCCAGCTAATCAGGGAGATGCTATTTTATAAAACAGCCACAGGAGCACAGTGATGTGCCCCACATCATCCAAGTGCAGAAGCCAATGAAGAACCAAAAATGTTCCTTGACTGCTAAGCCAACACCCTAGCCTTGTGAGCAGACCTTCTCACTACCATTCTCCAGAGTCCTTCTAAGCCACACATCCCTTGTAGATGAAACTCAGCAAGAAATTCTCTTTTGAACTGCAAAGCCAAAAAACCCAGTTGGCTC